ATAACCCTTTGAGTTTGGGTTATGACACCCTAGTTATTTCCGTCCACAGATTCAAATGGTTGTTTTTCACTTTAAAGTCACTTTTATCCGTTTTACTTGTAACTAGTCGAGTTCCTTGATTCCACTTACTTGTTTTGCTAGATGAATTGTAATATTCTTTCTCGTTGAATCATAGGTTTTCTCGGTGACCGAGGGTAAAATCCGATAGGACATTTTGGACGTTATTTAGCATAATTCGCTGAGTGTTCCTTGTTTGTTATGTTTCTTGATTATATGGCTTGTCTATATGACTGATAACATGTTAAACGCTTTCAATGATTAGTCAAAACGAGTTTTCTAGGTGAGTGTGTACTTTATCGCACTCAGCCTAAATGATTGTGAACTTTTCAATGATTGAACGATTGAAATGCTACTTGTGCATGAATGTAAGCCTTTTGGCTGAACTGGCCACTGCCCCTTGTTACCGATCGACTCGAGCCAGAAGCGGATTCGGTCGGGCGATATGGTGACCTGGGTGAACGTTTGGTATACTCGAGTATTACCTTGTAGGTTGGTGGAGGTTGGTGGAGCCTGGCCAATGTCCAGGAAAGGTGAATGAAATGAACGAACGAACGAGGATTTTATGTATAAATGAAAAATGCATTTTCAAATGAATGAAGGAAAGGGGAATGACAAGAGAACAAACGAACGAACGAATGAACGTATCCTTTTCATGTATGGTTTATTGTAAATGTTGTAACTGTTTCTTGACTTATCGTTTGATTTATGGCTTGATTCTATGTTCGGAACCTCACTGAGCTTTTAGCTCATCCCTTTAGTTTTGTTTTCCTTAACAGGGGAAGGCGAGCAAGGGCGAAAGCTCTATATCGACTGGCTGGGTATAGTTTTGGTTTTATTTTGGTTCTCGCCCTAGTGCTTGGCACGGGTTGGTTGTATGGTGACTTGAGAACTTTTGTATTCTCGACGGTTACACTTCTTTCTGAGATAGTAATGTATATAAGCTTTGTTTTAAGTTTTGGATTCTCGTTTTGCTCTTTCTTGTGGTTCTATTTCTGATTTGTGTGAGTGAACGACTGAGTCCCGGCGAGAGCTGGGCAGGCGGTCCGCTGAACCCTCTGGTTCGCCTAAGGGGGAAGTGGGGCTGTCACATAAATCCATTTGTACGCAAAAATGTCTCATTTATATTTTTAAAACGTTTCATTAGCAAATTTAATTTTTTTGCGATCCGTTTAGCGGGAAATAGTAAATGCACATTTTTTAAGGTAAATTTGGTCCGTGAGTGCAATAATCTTGGAGAATTAAGGGAGATCAATAGTAGACTAAGAAAAATTAACTGAGAAATTAAAGTGAGTGAGTTAAGTTAAGCTCAATTAGGAGCACAAATTGCACATTAATCGGATGTTGACTTTTGGGGCACAAGAGCACTTTATGTCAAATCCTTCTTACACAACATCAAGTCACCACCTAACCACACAAAACCCTTCTTTCTCTTCCCTCTTTGGCCGGCCACCCTACCACCATTTCTTACAAAAATTGTAGCTCCATTCTTTTCCATTTTTGCTCCACAAAAGCTCTCCAAAATTTCTCCATCTCTTGGTTCTTCATTCTAGCTTGGAGGAGGACTTAATCAAGGAAGGAACTTGGTGATTTAAGAGCTCAAAACCTAGTGTTTACTTTTCTTTTGGCAACAAGGTAACAACCCAAGAAAACCTTCAACCTTTCTTTTCAAAGCTTAGTAATAAGCTAGTCTAAGTTAGTTTAGTTGTTGGGTTGTTGATGGGTTCACAAGAACCTTGATATTAGGTAGTGGACTTGAGGTGCCTTTCCAGGTAGAGGCCTTGAGGATTATTGTGTGTTTAATTGCTTGTTTGTTACTTGCTTTGATGAGATATGGTGTAGTTTGAGTTGAAAAGTTGAAAAAGAAAGCTAGAGGAAGATGCATGCATGCTGGCCGAAAATTTTGTCCATCTTGTTCAGTTTTTATTTCGAAATTTTGATGCTTGGTTGACTGTGAAAGATGGATATATGTTGTATATTGTGTGTACAAAGTACCTTTAAAAAATCGTTTCATTTGGTTGCACAAAACTTGAGTTTTGGCAAGATTCAAATCTGGAAAAAACGTATAGCAGGGGTTCTCGGATAGTGTTCTTTGTTCGAACGTAACTCTCTGTACAAAGTTGAAATTGAGTGCCGTTTGTGGCATTCAAAACTAGACATTCGTAGCTTTCCAATGGTACAAAAATCTCCTGCTGGTTCATTTTGAGTGAACCGCAGTGAGTCGGCAAAGTTGGCTATTCTGTTTTGACTGTTTATACGAATGAAACTGGAAGCTGCATCTTGTGGCTTGATTTTGTCCCACTTGTGGAAAGATTTTCAAAATGATGTCTTCTGATAAATTGTAGCATTTTGAACTTAGTTTCCAACACCACCAATCATTCTCAATTTGAGTTTGTATAGAGTTAGATATGACTTGATTTCGAAAACGCGACAAAGCTGGGAAACTGGAAGTTTTTCCTTCCTTGTTGGCCGAATGGTCAAATCTGTCTTGGGAGGTTATATTTCGAAGATTTTGGTGTCAATTACCCATCAATTGCTCATTAAATGTTTCTGGATCCTTGGTTTCAAAAATAGAGTGGATTGGGGTTGATTTCATTGGACAAAACCTTTGAAAAGAAAGAAAGAGTGGGTTGGCAGATTAGTCTTGAAAATTTCACAAACTTTGGCCATTTCGTTAACTGCCTTCCCACGTGATTTTTTGCGTTAAATTTGATAGAGAAGTAGTCCACATATGAAAGTTTAAGTGTACCAAATTTGGTGTGATTTCAATACCATTTCGATACCCAAATAATGCCCCAAAGATGGCTCTTCAAATCTGGAAATTCACTGTTCAAGTAGTGAAAATTAACTGACTTTAAGCTGTTATATCTTGATGCTCAAAACTCCGAATTTAGTGCCGCTTGTTGTGTTTGAAACTTGGTTTGGAACTCTTTTTGTGTTACAAATTTCAGAAGTTGATTCACTTCCTGTGAATTTTTCCAAATTTCCAAAATTTGTTGAAAAACAAGACTAGTTCAAACCTGTCTTCTTGGAACTATAACTTTGAGCTGAATTATGAATACTTTTTAGTTGGAATCTTGGAAAAGTGACTTCTGAGAACTTTTAGTACTCCGAACCTAGATTCCAACAGTATAAATTTTTCCATTTTTGGGCATGCTAAACTCAAGATCTGATTTTTCCAAATTTATCGCGTAAAGCTGAAATTTTTCGATTTCTTAGGAAATGAGTTTTGAGAACTTGTCACTTTCTTTTGATATCGATAGACCGTTTTAAACTCGATTTCATGGAGAATGCAAGTCTCTCTTGTAACTTTAGATCCTCACTTTTAAATATCAATTTTTAGAGAATAAAGTTCTCTTGTAGGACATTGTCTTAGTTCTAAACGAGTGTACATTCTTTCTTGGTTGATGCATGGTTGTGAGTGATAGTTAATCGTTATTTCTTCAGGCGCTCAAGAGGATCTTCAAGAGAATCTCGGAGCGGACGGCTAAAGGCTTATTTGCTCACTTACTCACTTTTTGGTTTGGTGAGTATCAAGTGCATGTTAAATGCTTATGTGATTGAAATGTTAATTGTACAAGTGTTATACATATTACGTAAACTTGCCGAGGCGAGAGTGTACTTTATCGCCCTCGTCCTCTCTCTTTTTTAATTATGTGATACTTGTTACATGAATGCATATGTTTGGTAATTGTACATGAATATATTTAACTTGTGAGCTCTGAATGGATGCATGTACCACACCCTGTTTGGGTGGGAGGTGCCTCTCATACCGTCTCAGTGCTATAATCAGTTCTCTAAGCGATAGTATGTACCACACCAATTCGGGTGGGAGGTACCTCTCATGTCAACTCTGAACCATAAACAATTTTAAGTCGATTGGAGCAATGTCTCATCGACCCAATTCTCTAAGTGATAGCATGTACCACACCAATTCGGGTGGGAGGTACCTCTCATATCGATTCAGATCCATAAACAATTTTAAGTCGATTGGAGCGATGTCTCATTGACCCAATTCTCTAAGCGATAGCATGTACCACACCAATTCGGGTGGGAGGTACCTCTCATGTCAACTCAGAACTATAAACAATTCTAAATCGATTGGAGTGATATCTCATCGACCACTTATATTTCTGGGGGGGCACCCCAACCCATTGGCCAACCGTGTAACTCGAGTCGGCAAGGGCTTGGTCGAGAAGCTTGGTGAACCATGGGAAACATTATAGTTTAATCTTTTAAGGTCTTGCTTGGCATACTCGAGTAGTATCGCCACACCATGCGTGTTTGGTTACGGATCCGAGAGGGTGAAATGATGGATGGGGGAAGAAAGTGGAGTTTCCACGGAATTAATACCTACCCAGTTGACGGAGTGTCATCACGTGGAGATATTAGATCGAGCCTTGGTAAAGCAAGTGAAAATTTGCTCCTGAGAACTCCCGTATCCTTATTGATTGTGTTTTGTTTTCCTTTGTGAGTTATATGAATATTATGGTTGTCTTCTTGTATAAACTTTAATGCTAGTTGTACTTGCTTGTTTGCCTGCTTTTCTTGGTCTCACTGAGCGTTAACTCATCCCATTTCATTTGTTATTCCTTAACAGGAGAGTGACGTGAAGGAAATGATTGGAAGATACTAGTGAAGGCTAGTCTTTTGTATAGTTTGGTATTTTGTAACTGATCTTTGGGGAATTTTAAGATTTGGGACTCGATGCAGTTGACTTGAGATTTGTATCCTTGGATGTACTTGTGCAATGAAATATTATAGCCGTGTTATTATTTTGGCATATTTAGATGTAGTCATTGGAATTGATCTGTTTTTCATTTAAGAATTGTAGTAAGTCCCGGTGAGAGATTAGCAGGCGGTCCGCCGAACCCTTTGGTTCGCCTTAGGGGGAGGTGGGGTCATCATAGAACTGAGGGAATTGTTTTGGGCTATTGCATCAGCAACTAATGTTGATGATTTCAAGAGAGCATTGAATGCTTTAGAGATAGCTCAGCCACAAAATGGAGAGAACCTTACTGCTGCTGGTTGGTTGAAAAGGCTGCCATATCACTTGTGGTCTAGAGCACATTATGGAATAGCTGCTAAGACTGATTTTTCAGTCAACAACCTGAATGAGAGTTTCAACAACTACATTTTAAAAGCAAGAGACGAGCCAATTGTGACTCTTCTTGAATTTTTCAAAAGAAAGTTAATGCAATGATTGACATTGAAGAGACAAGGCGTAGAGAAATATGGAGGCAGATTGTGTCCAAACATTCTTGAGAAGCTAGCCAAAAGTGTAGAGAAGAGCAGGCATTGTATTGCTGTATTTGATGGTATTGAATCATTTGAGGTTGATGGTTTCAACAGAACCTCTGTTGTGAACTTGCAACGTAGAAGCTGTTCATTTGGTGCATTCCAATTGACTGGAATTCCATGTGTGCATGCTATTGCTGCCATTCAAAACATGGGGATGAAGGTTGAAAACTATGTTGATGAGTGCTATAGTAAAGAGGCATACTTGAGGGCATATGCTTATAGCATTGGAGCTATTCCATCCAAAGAACACTGGATTGATAGTGGAATGCAGTTGTTAAATCCACCATTTGTGAAGAAACAACCTGGGAGAACTAAAAAACTTAGGAGAAGAGGTCCTGATGAATCGAGAGATCCACAAAGAGCTTTCAAAAAGGGGTTGACAGTATACTGTAAGAGATGTTTAAAAGCTGACCATAATAGGAGAACTTGTAAGGAACCTCCTTATCCTAAATCCAAGTTGTACAAGGTACATTTAAGTACATGAATTTTTCTTGCACTATGTACTCTTGATAATTATTCCAGCAGTAAATTTTGACTCTGGTTGCAGGCTCGAGCAAGCAATAACCAATGAGGGGCAACAATAGCTTCCACTTCAGCCCTAACCAGAGAAGCACCAGTACATCAAGTATCTCAGCAAAGCAGCACTGCTACAATTAGTGATAACAACCCCAATTCTCGATCCAAAAGATCTAAGAAAAACTAGGATCAGGAATTTATGGATGTTATTTTTAGGACTTGTGTCGATGTAAACAAGTTGTAATGGTATATATGCTATCCTTAGAGCAGACATTGTATAATGGATTAACATGTTTTGTAAGTGATGCTCTTTTTTGTAATGACATTATTGGCATTATTGCTCTTTTTTGTAATGCCATATATTGGATTGTGGTTATCATATTATGACTATCCAAATTACAGTTGGTTCATGAGTAAACAGGTTGTATAGTTATTATCTTTCTTTCATTAATTAATACAAATCATGACAAAATTTGGAATTTTTTCATAAACTAAAATCATTACATTATTTGGTACATCATAATGCTGCCACTAACCAAATTACTATTTTCTATAAGCAGCAATAACTAGAGATAAACAACAAATAATAAAGGACAAAATCATTATCACTTTCAACATCCCCACAGTGCCTTCAACCGTGCTCAACTTTGCATGTAGCCCCAACAAGATGTCTGTGACGACTAGAAAATTCGCTCATATTTTCTTAAAATTTTCTTTTATTTTGACTCAATTACTTTATAATAGTTTTACTATTCATTTACCTCCCCAATGGTTGGAATAAAGAATGGAATTAAGAGTTTTCCCTTTACTTTCATCGTTAGGGTAAATTAGGGTTTTTACGTCTTTTGGTAGTGTGAATACTCGGTACGGAGTGTGTACTAAATTTGGTGGTTAAGAATAAGTTTGATATAAGAAAAAGTGTGTGATTAGAAGTAATAATAATAAATTAGTGAATTGTAAGTGAAAATCCTAATACGTGCGAGTTAAGGAAAATAGACTTAAACTGACGTGTACCATTTGCTACCGATTGAAGATATCACTTGAACACTACTTTATTACCTTAATCACCTTGCTTTTATTTCAGCTAATCACCCCTAAAATATCCTAGAAAACAGCCACCATTTTTGACCAAAAGAAAAGGAAGAAAGAAAAAAAAACAAGAGGACTAATGGTGGCTTGATAAGTGTTGGCCAACCAAGTTTGACCAACAAATTTCCTATCTTCTTAACATTGTTTTGGACCAAAATTCCTGCACTTTTTTCTTCATTGTAGCCATGAGTTTGGAGAGGGAAAAGAGAGGAGAGAAAACTGCATTTCCACCATAACAACCTTGCTTGAATCTTGAGGAAAGTAAAGTGAAACTTGAATCCATTCCGATTAATCTTTGGGAAAACTTCGAGGTGAGTTTGGTGGAACTTTTGGGAAGAAGAAAGTTCTTGTATCACAACTTATTTTGGGGGTTTTGAGGTATTATGGCTGTCTTCCTTTTTCTCTTCCTTAATCTTGTTTAAGTTTGGATAGAAACTCATATTCTTGGCTAATGATGGTTATTTAAGTAGTTTTGATTGATATGGTGGATTGTTGAGTTAAGGTTTGAGTTGTTCAGTTGTGTTTCTTGTTGTTTATATAGCATATGATGTTGATAAGCTTGGATAGAGATTTGGGGTAGTGATTCAAGACATGAATGAGAATTTTAAACCTTGAATCATCAAATTTCCAGCTTTAAGGTTGAAACTGCCCTGTTACTGACCTATACGTTCGTCCATGTTAGAGGCCGAATCAGACTTAGGCCAAAACATAAAAGTTGTAGAAAATGGTGTTAATAGATGTCTGTGAAATTTCAGCTCAATTGGAGCACTGTATCATGTAAAATGACAAAAATACCCTTGACTGCCAAATGTACTGTTTTGCGGACAGTTTTCTGTTTTCCTCTGAGATGTCACATTTTGATATTGAAAATGCACGAATTGGATGTTGATGTCTTCACAAGAAATGTATTTCTCTGTCTTAGCTTCGAAACGGCATAAACTGTACCCCAATCCGATAAGCGTAATTTCAGTTGTGACCGAAACGCCAAAAGATGTCAAATCTGTTATTTTGTTATTTGTTTTGAACATTAGTTCCGGTCGCATTGCTAGCATTGTTTTGTAATTGAATGACATTGAGCCTAGTGAAAGGCTATTGTGGTCAGATTATTTGTGTGTGATTTTGGGGCTGAATTGAGAAAAAAATAATGAAACCATAAATGGCCAGAAAATAGATAAATACAAAGGGCGTGCAGTCCAAATTTTCACTCGACGGTCAGGCGTGTGTACTTGCGACTTGAGCGAAGATTTGAGGACGAATTGAACTTGATTTGTCTGGGGTATTCGAGTCTACTTTTGTAGAGATATATAAGCTGGAATTTGGCCGAAACTCGTACCCTTGGAAAAAATGAGAGTAGCGACCAATGGAAATACGTTTTCCTCGTCTTTTTGACTCAAATGAGAATTCCAAAGTTTTAATCGCTTCCTTACCAAAACTAAAAGAGTGAGTGTGAGTTTTCTAGGGTGTGATAAGTAATGTGAATATTACCCAAATGAGTTTCAGTTACTTGATTTTAGTTAAACGAAACGCTTAAGTTTAGAATCTTAGTTAATTTCAAAGCTCTTAAACGATGTTTTATCGCAGATTTGGACTCCAACGAAGGAGTTACACCTGAGCGTGATTTTGACAAGCACTAAATCTTTGGTGAGTGCTTCCAAATACATGATTGAACTTGATATTTGATTTACCAACATGATCGGATAACATTTGTTTGGTTTGGTCGAGCAAGTGTGTACTTTATCGCACTTAAGCTAACTCAACTAAATACTTGATATTTCATTCATGCTTGTACAAGTTGTAAGGCCCGATGCAACCAAATACAACCAAAATACTCAACCAGACAAGTAGTCAAGTAAATACAATGACAAAGAATATAAGCAATTTTAAAGCACAAAAATAGAGTAACAATAAAGTAAAAGAAATTCAAATCAATCAAACTCCCAAGCTTCTTCCAAACTTGGAGTTGAATCCACCAAATAGCTTCTTCAATTGATGGTAGTGCTAACCAACTTGTACAAGTGAAGGCTCACTCCTTCCTCACCCCAAACATACTTTGGTTGAGCAAAGGAATTTTACTACTCTCCAAGTAAACCCTCAACTAGCTACAATTGAAAGCTTACCCACTCAATTAAGAACTACTTTATACAAGTGAGGCAATCTTTATCAAGGTTTTACCACTCCAAGTGATAGGTTCACCTTCACCAAGGTTTTACTCCTCCTAGAGAGTAACCTTCACTTGAGCAACCTCACAACCTAACTTTCCCAACCCCTTATACAACCAACAAAGAATATTTCTACTCAAAGATCTCACTTGTAAGCTTGTATTTAGTGTTGGCAAAAGTCTGTGTCTTCTTGTGTTTTGGGGTATTTATAGAAGGTGAGAAATGGCTCCAAAAGGCTCTCCAACGGTCAAATATTAAATGCTGTCGAAACTAACCGTTGGCCTGTCGGACGTCCGAACCATTTGTTCTGCGTCCGAACCATGCGTCCGAACCACCTATCGGACGTCCGAACCATTTGTTCTGCGTCCGAACCCTGCGTCCGATAGAAGTCAGAATGTTCAACTTTCATTCTTTTTGTGTCGGACGGCCGAAGCAATGAATGAGCGTCCGATCCAAGCGTCCGAAGAGTATCGTCGTCTGTCGGACGTCCGATCCTCTACGTCCGAACCTTCATATTTCTTAACTTCTCTTTGATTCAAATCTTTTCGATTCTCTTTTGGATCAATGACCTGTTCTAACAAATTTCTCACATAAAAACATTAGTCCAAATCTACATTTTGGTTTGTTAATCATCAAAACCAAGGACTCATCAACCAAGGTCAACAATCTCCCCCTTTTTGATGATGACAAACAAAATGAAGATTTCTTTGATCAAATAAGTTCAAATAAAACTCCCCCTTAGAAAATGCCAACATACAAAGAAATTTCAATAAATCCTACTCCCCCTTTTGGCATCAATCAAAAAGCAAACTCCCCCTTTATTTTTCAAATCAAGACCATATTGAATGTCAAAACTTTCAAATGTACTTTCAACCATTTAGCACTTTTTGGATCAAATCTTCATGATGTACCTAAGTATGAGAAATTTCATTTGGTATTTTTTCTTTATAGGGTCCTTGGGAGTTAGTACAACATGATCTAGCAATCCACATGGATTTCATACCTTTTCTCATATTTTTCTTTACATAGCAATCATTTTGCATATGTCCAAATTGGCAACAAAAGTGACACATGATAGAAGTATTTTGCACATAAGTGGATTTAATGCAACTAATTTTCTTACTTCTTATCATAGCAAACTTATTTGTGCCTTGAAAAGATTTGCTTTCTTTTGTTTGAGAAAACTTTTGTTTTTCATTTTGGAGAAACTCGTTCAAGTCATTAATTCTTTTCTTTAACAAATTTTGTTCCTCCAACATTTTTTCATAAAACTTTGTTTTCTCTTCCAACTTCCTTTTCAAATTATTTTTGCAATCAAAAACACCTTTTTGATTTTTTAAATCATCATTTTCCATTCTCAAACATTTGTTTTCTTGAAAAAGTTTGGAGTTTTCTTCCAACAAATCATTTATTTTTGTTTTCAAATCTTTATTTTTAGCATAAGATTCTCTCAAACTTTTATGCATTTTAATCATAAGAATTTGCACATCATCATCTTCATTATCTTCATCACTAGAAGAGTGATAAGAATTTACCTCATCTTCTCCAAAGGCCATTAGTGCCATTTAGGCCAACTCTTCTTTTTCTCTTTTTGAATTGCATTCATCCCATGTAATTTTGCAATCTCCTCTTGAACTTCTCTTGTTGAAGATCTTCTTGAAACTTTTGATGTGAGGAGTTATATCATTGTCCACTTCCATGTTTTCATTACCCATGAAGGATGGGTTATCCCCCACTTGAGATGCTTTAAAAGCTATGCCTCTTTTATACATTCTTGCATTTTCTTCCTCTTGCACTTTGAATTTCA